GATCTGAAAGTTGAACCTCCGACAAGAGAATCTAAGTACAACAAAGGAAAGTCAAACCACTAGGAATCAAGGGGTATTTGGTGAGTAAAGGCGGAGGCTCGCCCTCAATCAATGAATCCTTTATTTTTTCCTTTTTTTTCACATCTTTTTCTTTTCTTTCTTTTGCATATTTTTTCTTCTTCTCTTTCTTTTTCTTTTTCTTTGTTTTCTTTTTCTTTTGCACACTCATTGGCGGTTGACACGCTCAAGAGTATGGAAACCGAACCAGAGAAGCATGGATATAATAAGGATGGCCTGGTTGGTGACTCTGAAGTAGCCTTTTCCTCATGGCTGGACTGCAAAGAATTGAGGGGAAAGCCGTGGAGGTGCAAAAAGATAGAAGGTGGTTAAGAGACTCAACATCACCTATGATATGCTAGTATAGATCAATTCCTCTAGAAAAGCAAAAGATCAATGACAGAAGTCCATAGAAGAAAAAAATCACTAAGGCGGAAGACTCTAAAATTTGCTAATCCAAGAGTGTGTACAGAATGAGACATATTAATCAAAAAACACGCACTCCAAAATGAGTAATGACCATAGAAAGCACACATATATTAACATGTAATGGATATTCTCATCAATTCCAATATGCACCAAGGACCACTCAAAATTTTCAAGCTTGCAAAACCATACTAAGAAAATCTTTTTGGGATTTTTTTTTTAAATATATATATTTTTTTTAACGAAACCAAGACAAAAAAAAATGAACGGGCACACATGTAATGACAAAAACAACCACACAGAAACCTAAAAACTAAAATAACAAAACAAATTAACACAAGTCAAGTTTTCTCACCCAAACCGCTTTAGCATAAACAAAGTTGTGAGCATTGCGGTTCTTGGGTGGTGTCTTGACGTTGTGGTTTCCTTTTCTTTCAATGGGAACCCGTCTCGACTTGGTTTTCAACTGCCTATTTTTAGGTCTAGGCAAATACACTCTCCCATGCAACTTATAACAATAAGGGCGAATATGACCGTGCATACCACAATGATGACAAATAAAAGCAGGGTGTACCTTCTTTTCTTTGGCTTTACCAACTCTAGGAAGTTTGAGAAGTCTACCCTCATGTTGAATTTTTTGTCCTCCCTTTCCTTGAGTTCTTGTATCATGAGATGTGGAAACACTCTATTGTTGCTCTTTCTTACCACCAAAGCCAATGCCACTCTTGTCAGAACAAATTTGTTGAGACCCAATGATATTGTCCAAAGTCTTTGATCCTTTGTTCCAAAGACCAATGGTAACCATAGCACACTTGAGTTCTTCCTCTTTCTTGATCATTAGTTCTTCCAAAGCAACTTGACACTTCTCGAGAGTTTAAATTTTTTCTTCATATGTTGCATAGATTTGTTGTAGCTCATTCCTCTCTGTCTCACATGTCAAGAGGTTTGCACAAAGAGCTTGTCGATCATTAGCTATCTTGATGGCATCAATCCTAGCCTCGGAAATCTCCTCCTTTAGTGTGACATTCTCACTTTCACATGCTTTGAGTTTCATAGTGAGTTTGTCATTCAATTTGGATAACTTAAGAGATTCCTTATACAACTTTTCATAAGCTTGCTCAAGCTCTTCATCATCACTTCCCGAGGATTCATCGTCAGTGGCATTCTCAACTTGGCTCTTCGGATACTCTGTTCTTCCTTCAGTTTCATAAGCCACCATGAAAGCAAGGAATTGTTTATGTCCCTCTTCGCCTTGATCTTCATTGTCACTTTCATCTTCATCAGATTCTGATTCATCATCCCAAGTGATAGCGAGGGCTTTCTTCTTCCTCAACCGAGTGGGGCATTCTTGAGCAAAGTGGCCAAATCCTTGGCATTCATAGCATTGGAGTCTGTCAGAGTTCCCTTGTATCTTTCCTTTCTCCTTCTTGGCTGTAGAATTAATTTTGAGTTTATCTTTGCCTTTAGATTTATGAGTATGAGTAGATTCCAAAAGATTAGGATCCTTTTTCAAAAAAGATTTTTTAAATTGTTTAACAAAAGCAGCCGTAAGCTTGGAATCTATATCATAATCCTCATTAGAATCCTCTCCAACTCTATGAGCACTACTAAAAGCAATATCTTTTTGTTTCTTTTTGAAATTCCTATGTGCCTCATAAGTTTGGAGATTTCCAACCAACTGATCTAGCTTGAGATTGTCAACATGTTAAGCCTCCTCAATAGCCGTAACTTTTGGTTGGAACCGATCGGGCAAGGATCTCAAAATTTTTCCCACAACTTTGGATTATGGTATTTTTTCACCTAAATTGAAGTTGGAATTTACAATGTCACTCAACTTCGCATAAAATTCATCAAAGGTCTCACTATCTTTCATAGATAGGTTTTCGAAACTAGACGTGAGCCTTTGAAGTTTTGAGCGTTTAACAGAAGGAGTGCCCTTATGAATAGTTTGTAAGATATCCCAAGCCTCTTTTGCGACTTCAGAATTGCAAATTCGACTAAACTCTTCAGGTGTGACAGCGCAAAAGAGAGAATTTATAGCTTTACTATTCCAGCTACTATTTTGGTAATCAATTGTGTCCCACTTTTCAATTGGTTTGGGGAAAGTTACTCCATCAATAGTAATTGTTGGTTTAGTCCACCCATTCATGACAGATTGCCAAACTTTTTCATCTATAGATTTCAAAAACGATCTCATCCGAGCTTTCCAAAAAGAATAATTGGATCCGTCAAGTAGGGGTGGTCGACCCATAGAATTTCCCTCGCGAATTGAATCCATTATCACAAATCAAATAAGATCTTGCTCAAAAGTTTTAAAAAACAAACGAGCAACCTGCTTTGATACCAATTGAAAAATCTAAAAATCCCCTAGATATTGATTTGTGATTATGTATCAATTTTAAGCAGTATATAACAATCCCAATCAAACAATCAAGACAAATCGACACAATGATTTTAACATGAAAAAACCACAATTGGACACCTCCAACTGTGATAAAAAAAACCACGGGCAATCGCCATAAAAACAATCCACTAAGAAGATTTAAAGGAATTACACAGGTATACTCTCAATTACCTAGCGAATCCATGCCTAATTGAACCAACCTCTATGTGCCTCTTCCAACCCCGTCTTTACCTCGGAATTGTCTTTTCGATGAGCCACTCCAGAATCCACCGAAGCTTCAGGCTCGAATTCTTCAGAATCCACCAAAGAACAACTCTCTCTCTCTTGTGTATAACAAACAAAACCTTTGATGTACTCTCTTTAAACCATGAGTTGAATACTTAATCAAAACATCATAGAAAACTAGCAAAATATCCCCAGATATAAACCATCCAATTACTTATAGAAATCCAAAAGTAATCCTAGTTTTGGAAGAAATCCAATTACTTATAGAAATCCAAAAGTAATCCTAGTTTTGGAAGAAATCCAATTACTTATAGAAATCCAAAAGTAATCCTAGTTTTGGAAGAAAATCAACTTCTTAAACAAATCCTTGTCAAACGGGATTGCCAATAATAAAACCTAACAACTCAAATAGAACCTGCTGAATTTAAAAATATAAAAAACTGTACATTCTATGGCTGACATAATAAGTCGTTGTATTACATATTTTACGGCGTGCAATCAGCGTCTTTATTTGTCTCACTAATTAGCGACGTGCAAAAGTAGTCATAGAAAAAGTAACGACGACACACAAAATCTTCCGTTAAATAGTTTTTAACGGCGTACTATAGCATGCCATAGAAAAAGTAACAACGACGCACAAAATCTGCCGTTAAATAGTTTTTAACGACGTATGAAGCATGTCGTTGAAAGTGAATGACTTTCCATGATTAGTCATAATATGACGCGCACTGCACGTCGTAGAAGGGTTTTTACGGCGTGCATTGCGCGCCGTAAAAACCCTTTTTTGCTGTAGTGTTTTGGGAAATTTAGGAAACCCGTGACTCGTGCCAAAGGCCATCAGTCCATCGTTACCAAAGTGTCTTGGTTCAGGAACTTAGGTATGAGATGGAAAGGTCAATAATGAGCACCCCACTCACCCGATCAAAGATCGACCTTTACTAATTATGATGTGATTCTTATGTATAGTATATGTTCTTATTTTATTTTTAACATACAAGTATAGACTAATTTCACTAGAAGTTGGAACGTTTGATTTCATGTTTATTTTGAAAAAGTGTTTTAAATATGTACCACTTGAAAAAATGATCTCATATATATACATTAAATCAAAGTATCCCAATTTCAGTGAATAGCATTCATCCACAGGCATTCAAGCAGTTTAACAATTAAGCATTTAGCCTCATGGTAGTATGTTTGATACGACAACAATCACACTTATGCAATATGCTAAAGCATAAAAACTTATCTCGTACTCCAAGCCAAAAAAGGAACTAGTTAGAAAAATGCATGATCCTAACTATGTAATATGGCTAATGCAACACATACAATATGCAATTAATAAGCTCGGCTACTAGCATGGCATGCGAGTCAATTCAAGGCATGTGATAGCGCATGTATTCAAGTAAAGAGTTTGAATTTGACATTTGAATAATATGATGAGCCAAACTTTTATGCATGCAATTCAAGTGGATGCAAACATGTGTATGCTAAATTAAACATGATGTCCTTAAACTAACCATCATAAGCTAGTAAATAAAAGGAAGAAAGATGTGGGGTTGGAAGACATACACATTATTACATATTTGTCCTCGCGAAGGAGGGTTCGAATGTCCAAGTGTTCGAACAAATAAATATTACAAATCCGAATGAATAATAATGAAAAGGGGTTGTCTAATTTATTACAACAAATAATATGTAATGATCGCGCGATGCTCCTCAGGAATTACTCTATCTGCCCTGTTGAGATTTGTTCTATTTCACCTTATCATTGCTTTCGACCAAAAGTGTATTGTTTGCATTTTATTGGAGCCTTGCTGACCCAAAACAAGACTTAGTCGAGCCCCAAATAAATCCAAGCATACCTTGTTTTCTTTGCGGAAATCTTCTCTTTTTTTTTTTTTTTTTTTTTTTTTTTTTTTTTTTTTGTGCCTGAGGTGAAACAGTGAAAACATGCAGACAGGGTATTCCTGGCCATATTTGTCTCTTCTACTCTTCTCTATAATGGAAAATACTCAAGAGAGGAGCGAACTCGGTTCCCAAACCATCTATGGTTGCAAGTTGATTTGTCAGATGATTTTGGACACGATAAGACAAAGATCAATATATGTAATGCATAACCACCACCCCTCCCTCCTATCATGAAGCAAATTCAAGAAGAGAAGTAGAGACGTTTCAAGATTCATCAAAACATTATGGACTAATGTAAGACAAGCCTTGACACAATAAACTCGGTATAATGTCCGACCGAATTCAATTGATCATATTGGTTCTTTATGTTGGTTGATTCATTTGAAGTTCAATTTTATTAGCCTCTTTTATATTACCTTTCCTTTTCTTTAATTCATTAAGTCCACGGTGATATTTACATCCACTAAGTCCGAAATGCAATAAAGGAAAATAAGTGTTGACTTAACCCAAGGAAATAAACCTTATTTTCTTCGGAGGAAATTACAAAGGACGAGTCAAACTTATTTACAAGCGATATGGGATTTCAAGTCAAACTCAAGATGTGCAACAAGGACTAGTCAAACTCAAAAGAGTGATAATGACTTAGATAAACCCACAGTGAGCGACAATGACTTGAAATCCAAACTTGATAATAAGTGATAATGACACTTTCCTTGGTGATTTTCAGGGGTCAATCAATCCCTTAAAAGTAGACACACTGGTGATAAAAAGAATTGAAAAATAAATGATTGTACTTTAATATAAGAAAGTTTTATACCTTTGGTAGTGAACCTCCGAAGAGATTAAACCATTAAGCATGAGGAAGTTTTATGCCTTTGGTGGTGAACCTCTTAAGAGATTAAATCATTAAGCATGAGAAAAGTTTATTTCTTATACTTGACCCACAATATTAATTTTTCACAAATTTTTAATCAAAATAATCGAATAATGGAGGGAGGTTGCAGAGGTGATTATGCAAAGTTGATTAATTGGTTAATATAACACAAACATAATATGTAAACAAACTTATTGAAATAAATTAAACAACCCCCTAAATAGCATAAAATAGTGCTGAAATTAAGCTAACAAAGGTGAACAACTATGCATAGATTAAAGCTAGTAAACAAGTTTAAGGAAGGGTGGCTAACCCCTCCACTTTTGGGACTTCTAAACCATATTTTACCCTTTGAAAATAGTCAAAAAACAGTCTATAAAATAAGAAAAAGAGAGGAAAAGAGTAAGTGAGAAGTAAGGAAAAAGATGTAAAATTGTACATTTGAAAGAGAGGTAAGCTCTTAATTAACAAACTTGATTCCGACACCCTTAAGTTTCTAGAATGGATGAACTCCATAGTTTACAAACTCTCTCTTGATCACCCTCAAGTGTAAAAAGTCTGTTCTCAAATCCTCAGTAGCTATGGAAGTTTGGAAGTATTTTGGCTCAAGGTTAATATGTAGACAAAATTACTATCCTTTCTCTCAAACTCTCTTGAATCATTCCTTCATCTAAAACCAAAAACCCCTGTTTTTAATGAAAACTCTCTCTTTTAATTAAAAACCTCCATTGAATCAATTCATTTGAATCAAAATGTTTTTTTCTTCCTTCCTCCCCGGGAGCCTCTCTCTTCTATTGATTTATATAGGCAACAAACAATATATATAATAATATAAATCTAATAATATATATATATATATATATGCAAAGTTATGCAAAGTTTGATTTGGATGTCGGCTGCCGACATCAAAATAATTTTTTTATTATTATATTTTTTTATTATATATAATATAATATATAAAATATCTTAAATATATAATATATACCAATTTATATAAAAACGCCAAAAACATGAACAAACACATAAAATTATGCAAAATGATGAAATACTAAACTAATGAAATATTTAGTAGTTTAAAACAATTTGGCCAAAATGGTGATGGTTGGGATTAAAATTCAAATTCCATCTCTCTTACTGAGGATTCTGTGAGAAACATATTTTAATTCTCATCATCGAGTAATCAAAAGAAAGTGCCCAAGTCTTGGGGTTGGTCAAAATGGGTGTCTACAGTTGCCCCTCTTTGACAGAACTCGGAGTCATAAAATGACGTGAGTGAATGTCAAAGCCCGAAGACGACCCATTTGACGAGGTCGTAAAACTTTGGGCAAAGAAACAAATATGCAAATAATTGGTTGAACTCGAGGGTTGCCTACGTATCCCTTTGCAAGGAATCAAACCTGCATAGTTCAGGGACAGAATGCAAGTGATATGCACTTGAAAGTTGGACTCACACGATTCGCGAAGCCGACTATTTGAAAACTTATGATCATGTAATGAAGATGCAAAGCAATAACAGATGCAACATATGAATGGGCAGCTTCAAGCTTAAAATCAATACATCTAAAACATATTCTAACCACGCCAAAATGCGGGACAAGGAAAGAAAACACCGCTTAGGGTTGCGTTTCACGCATCCTGAGAAATCAAGAAATGAAAATCACTCGGGGTTGCGCTCATGCGTATCGAGATAGAGGTAAAACACGCCCAGGCTTGCGATTTACGCATCCTGAGATATTCTAATCATGCTGAAATCATGAGAAGGGGAGAAAAACCGCTCGGGCTCGCACTTCATGCGTCCCGAGATGAAATACCCCCAGGCTCACAGTTCATGCATCCAGAGATACTCTAATCACTCTAAAATCGTGAGAATAGGAGAAAAACCGCTCGGGCTCGCGCTTCATGCGTCCCGAGATGAAATAAGCCCAGGCTCGTGATTTGCGCGTCCTGAGATACAAGAAAAATTGCTCGGGCTCGTGTTTCACACGTCCCGAGATGAAATACGCCCAGGCTCGCGATTCACACGTCCTGAGATACAAAAAAAATCGCTCGGGCTTGTGTTTCACACGTCCCGAGATACAACCCGCCCAGGACAGCGCTACGCGTCCTAAGATACAAAAAAAATTGCTCGGTCTCGTGTTTCACACGTCCCGAGATACAACCCACCGAGGGCCGTACTTCACTCATCCTGAGATACAAGAAAAATTGCTCGGGCTCGTGTTTCACACGTCTCGAGATACAACCCACCTAGGGTCGCGCTTCACGCGTCCTGAGATACAAGAAAATTGTCCGGGCTCATGTTTCACGCATCTTGAGATACAAGAAAAACCGCTCTGGCTCGTGTTTTACACATCCCAAGATACAACCCGCCCAAGGCTGCGCTTCATGCGTCTTACGATACAGGAAAAACCTCTCGGGCTCGTGTTTCACACGTCCTGAGATACAACCCGCCCAAGGCCGCGCTTCACATGTCCTAAGATACAAGAAAAACCGCTCAGGCTCGTGTTTTATACGTCCTGAGATAAAACCCGCCCAGGGTCGTGCTTCACGCGTCCTGAGATAAAGACAAACCGCTCGGGCTCGCGCTTTACGCATCCCGAGATAAAACACACCCAAGTTCGCGGTTCACGCGTCCTGAAATAAAGACAAACTGCTCGGGCTCGCGCTTCACGCGTCCCGAGATAAAACACGTCCAGGCTCACGGTTCACGCGTTCTGAGATAAAGACAAACCGCTTGGGCTCGTGCTTCATGCGTCCTGAGATAAAACACGCCCAGGCTCGCGATTCACGCGTCCTAAGATAAATACAAACCGCTCGAACTCGCATTTCAAGCATCCCAAGATAAAACACACCCAGGCTCGCGGTTTACGCGTCCTGAGATAAAGAGAAAGGTACGAGACTATACCACAAATACACAATTGTAATGAAAGTGTGCGCTAGATGCACAAAGTGAATGAGTGCGATAGATGCAAGTGTGATAGATGCACAAAATGAATGAGGAAAGATGGTGTGAACACCAGGTGCACCTGATGTTTTTTAACCAAGTGAATCAACAACCTAACATGTCACACACGAAAAGAGGAAAGATGGTGTGAACACTAGGCGCACCTAATTGTTTTTTTTTTTTTTTTTTTTTTTTTACCCAAGGAAACTCGAAATTCTAACGTGTCTCAAGTGAAAAGAGGATGGGGTGGTGTGAACAACAGGCGCACCTGCTGTTTTTAACCAAGGAAACAATCCTAACGCGCCTCACGCGATAGGAGAAAATGTGGACTTGAGATCCAAACGCGTCTCATGCAAGAGGAGGAATAGTAAACTGGAGATCCAAACGCGTCTCACGTGAAAGGAGGAATAGTGAACGAATCCAAACGCATCTCACGCGAGAGGAGGAATAGTGAACGAATCCAAACGTGTCTCACACGAGAGGATAAATAGTGAATAAATCCAAACGCGTCTCACGTGAGAAGATAAATAGTGGTGTAACCAACAAACGTGCACAACCATATCTCATGCGGAAGGGAGGGTTATAACCGGGGAAAATGTTACATCCTAACACGTTTCACGTGAAAGAAGCAAAGGTGGATTCGAAGTCCAAACGCGTCTAACGCGAGCAGAAGAAGGTATGGTAGAATGACTTTTTTGCTGACAAGGGGTTATCTCTACATGTAGAAGCCACTGATGCCGCTTTTCTTCCTGATCATATTCACAACTTTTCCTATTCTCCAATAGGGTGACAGACTAAGTTAGTTCAGTATCCAGGATTGAGGCGCATACAAGCTACCTCAACCTATGGGGCTGCCATACAGATTTCAAGCCGATGATACACCTCTAGGTATTTAAACCAGACTTTAATCTCGAAAATTCCAAACCTTTGCGTTCTAGGCATCGCCATTCGAACTCTAGTTTCCACCGTCACAGTTGGTCTCCATTAACTCATTACAAACACAGCCAAGGTAATACACACAAATATTTACATATATAGAAAAAATATACATAGATATGTACATATGGTATATATGTACATATATAAACAAAATACGTACAGTTATATGCATACAGTATATATACATATGCAAACATGCATATACAGACATATATACGATATATACGGATATATCCACAGATATATACGGATAAACATGCAAAAAGAAAGGAAAAACACAAAATGGATGGACATGGGATACAGGGTTTCGAACCCCTAACCTCAAGCTTGTCCCTTGGTCCCTCAACCACTGAGCCAAACCACTAAACCCAAGTCACTCTTATGACCAAATGTTCAAACAAATATATATGCATAGATATGAGACATACACGAAACCAAAACAAAAAAAAAAAAAAAGAAACATTTGTTGTG